TAATGCCTTCAGTATAAAGTAAAATGTTGCAACAAGAAGAAGGGGAGGGGTGTGTGGAAAATATATAGTGTCTCTCTCCTGGATGCATGCACTCAGCTCTCCAGAATGTGCTCAGCTCTCCCGCCAATTGTTGTACATTCATTGTTTCATTGTGTGAATTGTTTGCCCTTTGATTTATTTTATTTTTTTATCAATTCCCCATTAAATATGTCACCAGTAGGCCTAGTAAATGTACTGTTAATCACCTCTAATTTGGTTACATTCATCTATGTTAATGCATGTATGAATTACAGTCATTTACCGTTCTCATTTTCAGACTGGAAACGTTGTTTGTGGAGTTCACAACCTGCTACACTTGTGAGAAACAAGTTTTGGTTTATTTCATAACCATTACGAGTTTTGTACATTTGTTCATTCTTTTTTGTTTGGAGTGCTTCATTTGGACAATGAGCATGTGTCTGGTTTCTCTTTCCTGATCACGTTGAGGGAGCGCGCGCCTGAGCACACACAGAAGTAAGCCAACCAGGGCTGCTGCCTGCAAAAGTAGGAAAGTGCCCATTTGACAATGTCTGATTTCTGATTGTCATTCCTTCTTCTCAGTCATTTTCTCTTCACCTCACGCAGTAAGTCAGCAAAGTCTGTTTCTTTAACATCCATTGTAAATGATAGTTCTTCAGTATTTGAAAAATATTTCCAACACTCTCGGCCATAATCACCAAGCCTCGTGTGAAAGAGCAAAATACTGTATCATGATCTGATGATTCCATATATCCAGTGGAAACATCATTTAAAAAAACAGCTGTCTGTCCCGAGCTCACTGGCGCGGGAAACTCTGAGGGCCTTATTGGCTAGTTGTTGATATAATGTTGCAAGTTCGCTAGCAACAGCTTTGGGCCGACCCAGTTGATGATTTGATACAATGTTGCACTTCAAAAATAATCATAATTGCCACGAATGGTAGGATAAATTGTAAGCATCCCCAAAATTGAAACTCACGAGCTGCCTATGGTACTATAACACCCATTTTAAATAATTGTGAACTTGCAAGCGCGTGCACACATAGTAGGTCCCGTGAAAAAACGTGCCCGCCTATGGAAATCAAAGATCCGTCCAACTGATTCGTTCTGGCTCCGGCCCTGAAGGCAGATCAGTATTTTACATATCAGCTAACCACATCATATATTATAGCAATCTGTCAGTCGATGACTCAGTCGATGACGTCGCAAGCAACCATTGGTTGATGCATGCAAAGTCTAAGCAGGGGAACTCGAACATTGAGACGAGCGAGATGCAAGACTTCGCCCTCACACACAGTATCTGCGCATGTGCACGAGTTTGCTTCACGCTGTTACAGCGTGGTAGCCATGGGACCAAAACAGCGGAGAAGTTGAGCCTCGCACTTCAACGCTCTTAGTTGTTGCAGAAATTGACCCACTATGCGGTTTACTTTCTGCATCTACATCATATCTCTGAGTCTACCTTTAAATTGGCACCCTGCCAAGGTAAGACTCAAGTTCTGCTGCACTAGGCTACTTGTTTAGAGTCAAGGGGTCTCTTCTCAATTCAGAATATGATGATTTGAGACATGGGGCATGTGACTATCTGGTGCACATTGCTAGTGTACATCTGCACATGTACAGTGTAGATTAGACACACTATTGTGGGATGTTTTCAGAAACGACATTGCATGGGCCTATATGGTTTTTTGTCATATCCTTTCTCAACATTGACACATCAACAGTCATCCTCTAGGATTTGTTGGCTTTTCATATACCTCATTTGACAATACTTGTAGGCCTACAGTCAGCACAATGTATTATTACCTGAATATCCTTGCCCATATGGTGTATGAGTTGAGCATCCTCTGGGATAATTTACTGCAGAGTGAATCAAATGAGCTAAATAATAAATACCACAGTTAATGAGTCTCACAGTTGATTACTGTGAACTTATGAACCTGGGAATTCATGTTCTTGTGACCAATTTAAAGAGACCTGCAGAGGGGAAACAAGTGGGTAAGAGAGAGAGAGAGAAAGAGAGAAATATATCTGTTTCCACTGGTGGTTGACATTTACGAGACTCTCTGCCCCCCTCTCGTGATGTCTGCATAGTGAGGGGATCTGTGAGTGCACAGCCCAGAACATGACCAATGGCACAAGTACCACCAGTGTGCCTTTGAAAAGTGGATTCAGATTTGTCAGCTGTTTGGCATTGGTTGATCCACTACAGTATCTGAATGCACAGTTTGGATGTCAACCCAGTCACCAAAAAGCTAATTTAATTCCGTCAGAGTAGTCAATTGCTCTGCATATCTGCATGTTCCTGTTTAGTGCACACATTATAGACAATCCCAAGCCATTGCATTTATCAGTTGACAAATTCATGGTATATAATATTGTAACGAATTCGGGGGGTAGCCCTGACCAGGACTCAAACCCGGGTCCAGCGACTGTCAAACGAACTCTTTACCCATTACGCCAAGAGAAGTCGCTAGGTGTTGGGTTAAAGGGATACTTCTGGATTTTGGCAATGAGGCCATTTATCTACTTCCCCAGAGTCAGATGAACTTGTGGATACCATTTTTATGTCTCTGTGTTTAAGGTCACTACATTACCCCCTTCCTTCTGGAGAGTGTGTCCCCACGCTTCTCTATACCAAGTCCCTCACATGTACATATCTCTTCGGTGGCCTCACGGGCGTCCCACTTCTGACACCAATGTCGCAAATTCGGGGGGTAGTGTAGCGATCCTCTCTATATGAGCTATGTTACAATTCCCACCAAGTGGGTTAACCCTATTGATGCAAAGTGTAGGGTTACAAGCCAGCGGCTCACTTCCCTGCCCCACTGTTCGCTACATTGGTGTCTGAAGTGGGATAGCCTTATTAGCTTAAATAACAAACGGACGGAGAGGGAATTACAGTTAATGTCAACAGGCGTTTTAATGTTACACTGCAGGGTAACAGGAGCTACCTAAAACAACAAACCTAGCCTGAACTAAAGTAGGTAGCCATAACTCACAGTCCAGCGGGAGGTATTCCCTCAGAGAGATAATGAGAGAACGAAATGGGGCTCTCTCCCTAGTTATATCCCCACAGAACCTATGCCCCCTCCCCATCCTATTACTATGACAACCTCATAAACAATTAAAGTAATTGGTGCTGCCAATCCATGGCAGGGTCTGCCCGCCTAACCCCTGAGGGTCGCTACAATATATATACCATGGGCCCGTCATGGTTATTGCCAAGTCGTGGCCTGTATCAAGTGAAGGCATTGGCAAGTGTTTAGATAGTGGTTTGGATACGAGCTATTTGTCTGAATTCCCTATGGCAGGGGTGTCAAACTCATTCCATGGAGGGCCTAGTGTCTGCTGTTTTTGGTTTTTCATTTTAATGAAGCCCTAGACAACCAGGTGAGGGGAGTTCCAGTGATCTTAATTCATCAATCGAGTACAAGGGAGGAGCGAAAACCCACAGACACTCTGCCCTCCGTGGAATGAGCCTTAGGGTATCTTTTACACCAAAGCCTTCCAATTTCATTCCTTTAGAGTCAAATGCTGGTCTTCGCTCCAGCACCACTCTATCATGATATCATCATTCATGTCACATACGTTCGATAAATCCATATGCCAAATAGAATTGCCACCATCCTTTCCGGTTGCCAATACGTGACATTTTAGGATGTTATTTGAGCTTTCAACATCAACATGTCTTGACTAGACTGAACTTAGGAGAATGTGGAGTGTTACAGTTCAGAAATTGATGAGTAACAATACGTAATTGGGTGCAGGCACATTGCAAATCAATGTCTCTGCAGATATGGTCACTCACTGAATGGAGATTAGTTAAAATGACAAGACATAGGCCTAGGGTAGCTCTCCAGCACCCCACATTTGAACCCTTGCAGTAGTTAAGTCACATAGGCAAAGTAAATGTCAACCTAAAAATATGGCAGATAACCTTCTTATGGTCTGCCAAGCTGCTGAATACCTATACACTGCACTCTGGGATTACCTATATCTCTCTCTTCAAATAGTTTTAAAATGTCAAAGTGTGTGACATTTCGGCAAAGCAACACCGAAAGGCAGGCACAACTCTTCCATGGATATTTTCCATGATATGGTGATATGCATGTTTTATGAAATCTTATCAATGTCTTAATAGGCTATATTTAAAATAGCTGTTGTGCACAGTGCACAGAGTATCTGCAAATGTCTGTAGTTGTTTGAGGTTTATCTTGCTAACATTTCCGGAATATTTTCTTATTAATATAAACCTCAGTTCTATGCTCTAATAAAATAGAGATACATTTACATGAAAATCAGCATTCATAGGGACAGTTCAGAAATAAAGGCTTTGATTCTCCACTTCAGATACATAACCCCCTGCAACAGGCCCCTGAATGCTTCTTGGTATTTGTACACACTGGTGCACCCAGTGGCCGAAATACACTACCGGTCAAAAGTTTTACAACACCTACTCATTCAAGGGGTTTTCTTTATTTTTACTATTTTCTACATTGTAGAATAATAGTGAAGACATCAAAACTATGAAATAACACATATGGAATCATGTAGTAACCAAAAAAGTGTTAAATCAAAATATATTTGAGATTATTCAACAGCCACCCTTTGTCTTGATGACAGCTTTGTGGCCGGCTTGAACACTGCACTGGAGTGGGGGTGATAGGTTTTGAAATAATACAGGGATTTAAAACTTAGGGAATGGGCCAGCTGTGTACAATGTTGGACTTATGAAGTTATTTGATGTCTATCAAAATAACAGTGGGTAGAAGGAAAGTGATCAGAGTGATTAACTATTTTAGGACTTCAGATTGATATTCTGTCAATACCATCCATGCAAATACATGTTTATCTTTCTTAGACATCTCACACACTGGGCTGAAAAAGATTACAGGCAGGAAATAAAACAGGAATACACATGCTAAGCTAATGATGATAGAGCAACTTCTAGAAATAAGAAATGTCATTTTACTGTTTTTAAATTTTTTTTATTAGCTTTATTTCTTAATGGAAAACACCAAAAACAGTATTCAATTACACTTAGAATACAAAAAGTAAACGGCAACTTGAAATAATATTCTTGAGGCACCAGTCAAACCATACGGAGCAAAGTATCCAGTAACTCCGATACTTTTAAGCACATTTAAATGGTTATTCTTACAGTACTGATCAATAAAGCTCTTCATAAAGCACAGCCAGTCAAAGATATGCCTCTTCCTAATAGAAATATACGGGACATTGTTGAATGATTTGAGATGGGGCCTATCAAAATGTCAATTTATCTGAAAATATATATATTTTTTAAAGTGTTACCATCTAGATTCCTTTATGCAATAACTTTTCCAGCGCACTAATTTTGTGCAAACAACCTGCAATTCAGGTAATTGCTGTTTAAGTGAATGTGAGAGAAATTCTGTCCAGTTCGCTTCCGACAGCATTCTGAACTAGCATATCTAGATCTGTATATTCTCATTTTGAGTCAAATCTATCAACTACATCAATGACTCTGCTTAATCAATAAATGTTCTGTCCCCCAAAAGTCTGATCTGGAAATAACCAGGGGTGAATATAGAGAATAGTTGGAGAATGAAAGAGTTGATACATGTTATCTGTGTGTATCAGGGCTGAATAGTGTTCAGTATAAAAGCATCCAGTAGGAGTCGCTGTTACAGTCTGTCATGAAGCAACTGAGTGGCTGAGAGCCATCTACAACCACTGGCTGTAAAATAAGGGTATATGTCCCTGTATTACTCTGCATATAAAAGCATTAAAGCAACCGTCAAAAAGTTCTAAAATAAAATACAACATAATAGTCATGATTGGGGAACATCTGTAACGACACCTCCGTCAAATGTCCATAATTGCTTCTTTCTGTTTAACAAAGAGAATTATACAGGATAGCAGACCGGAAGGACCCTAATACTGGGGGTCGTGTTCATTAGACACTGAACTGAAGAACACGGACTGATACAGGGAATGGCTACCTGGAATTGTCCAATAGGAAATGCTCATTTTGGTTTTGCGTTTGAAAACAATTTGTGACGGTGTGACCTATTAAACCCTGCAGAGTCTATGTTAGTGTTTATGAAGGGTTTCCCATGTTCCAATACAAACACGGTGAAGCCTCTGTTGTAAACTCTACCTTCCTCTAGGGTTATGATTGTCTGTGGGTTCATTTTTTCTTCCTCTCCTGAGTACACCTTGGACAGTACCTGGGTGAAAGAAATGAAAGAAATAGAGACAGAGTGAAAGAGATAAAAGAAAGGGTGAGTGAAATGGTGGTATGTTCAGTGAGTTGATCTCTTCCATGTTATAGGAGAAAAATCCTTATTTTCCTATCCTAATTTCTTTGACTTACCATTTTCCTCTGGGTTTTGTTGTCAGCCCCACACAGGCAAAGTGGAACCACTCAATGGAGCACTGCAATGAGACCAACACAATACATTCTCGTTAGTATTCCAATAGTATAGGGAGAGACTTTTATAATGCTGTGCTGCCCTCTAGTGGGTTTATTTCTTAAGGCCAAAATGGACCAAAAGGAACTAGCCTTTATTTAGGTTTTACTGGATTCATCTTTGATTTAAGTGCAAACATTCCAACGCCAGCTCTCATTTCTTGAATTTATAAAATCAGACTTTTTGGTAAAATCACAGATTCATGTCAATGTGGTATTTTTTGTAGAAACATTCTAGTGCCCAGATTTCAGGTTAGGATTTGGCTCCTAGTGAATAGTTGACCCAATCAGGGTTGGGGTTCATTTCAATTCCGTCATCTCAGGAAGTGATGTCATTGCTTCTCTCTATGAGAAAAAAAGGGAATTGGATTTTCAGTTTCCTTCCTGAATTGAAAGGGAACTGACCTCAACTCTGGACCTAGTGCTCATGTACCACTAGATCACCAATGTCAGAAAGCTGTGGACTCACGTCTGTGTTGTCACAGCCGATCATCTCTCCGTAGGACACTTGGTGACACAGGCAGTAGGTGGGCTCGTTGGGGTCCACGGGCATGTCCAGCACGTCCGAAGGGTGGACGTTCCCAAAGTTCACTGTAGGGGCTGTGAACTCAGGCCTAAGGACACAACAAGGGAGGACAATGGGGATGAATACTGAGAGGAAGGGATGTACTGTATCAGAGACTGCTGTAAGGTACGGAGTGAGAGAAGACCAGAACAGCACATTTCGGTTAGGTTCAGGGGGTTATTGGAGTGGATGAAAATTAGCTGTCTGGCTTATATCTGGTATAAAGCATCAGCCTATGAAACGTTTTAATGGTACATACGCTTGTGTTAGTTTGACTTTCTTCTGTCCGCTCTTGGGGCTGCAGTCGTCGTCTGACTTCACCTTTAACCTCGTGCGAGCCACCTTCTTCTCTTTTGGCACCCTGAGCTCACCTGAAAAAAGACACAAAACTCTTTAGGCTATGTTTATTAAGCACCAAACAGAAGAAAATAGACTTATATAAGGAGGGACTCCCTGGACCTGCTGTCTAATAAGAATAAGCTAATTTTAGTTTTTGCTAAATGTTTTCCACTACATGCCATAATGAACATGGCCCAATTCACAGCTATCTATAGGGTTGAACGTCAATGAGACAACAGTAAAAAGTCACAAAGTTTCTGAACAGAACTTACTCTTGATTCCCTTGCTGGAGGTTGAGTCATAGTCGGTGCTCTCAATCTTTTTCTCCTTCAGGTCTGCCTCGAAGCGGGCCAGGTCTGTGTCCAGCCTGCGAATGTGTTTGTCCACCTGAGGGGTCACAATGAATAACAGGACACTGACTGAGACATCACACATTACATGAGAAATGACTGACATCTCAGCTTGCCTAGGCTAACTAATCACAGTGGAAGCAGAAAGTGCGTCCACTTCTGCTCAACATCAAAATCTGGACTAGTCAACATTTCCATTTCCAGCTGCATCAAACATGCTAATTAAGATTATAAACTGGGTGGTTCGAGCCCTTAATGCTGATTGGTTGACAGCCGTGGTATATCAGACCGTATACCACGGGTATGACAAAACATTTATTTGTATTACTCTAATTACGTTGGTAACCAGTTTATAACAGCAATAAGGCACCTTAGGTGTTTGTGATATATGGCCAATTAGTCATGGGATATTGGCCATATACCACACCTCCTCTGGCCTTATTGCTTAAATATAACACATCTTTCACTATGTAAGGCTTGCCTGCAACCTGAGGTAACCCTCTCTCCAAAGAGCACTTTTCCTTTCCTCATTACTAGTATGGACCCCAAGCAGCACTCCTATTCCCAGTCTACTGTATCCATCCTAAGGTCTACTCACCATCTCATAGGTCTGCATGGCCAGTTGGACCTTGTCATCTCCAAACTCTTTACACTTGCCATATGACTGCTGGATCTGCCGGAGCAGGGAGAGCTTCTGCTCAGAGGCTAGGGTGTGCGTGTTTGATGTGTATTCACGAGCCAAAGAGTCTATCTGCCCTTTCAGATCTGAGAGAAAGAGATTCATTCATTTATAGTAAATTGTGGGTACAACCATCACATGGGCTACATGCACACTGACTATTGACAGTAGCCTTGACATTCTGGATAAGTGTTTGCTATTTACTTGTTATGATAACAGCAACAATCATAATATCAGATCTGTGTGAGAGTCTCACCCTCTGTCCGTGTGTCCAGGTCTCTCATAAGAGTGAAATTCCTCTGTAGCTCAAACGGCAGATTTTCTATACCTAGAAAAACAAGGTGTTGTACAGTATATTACGTTATATACCGATCCAATTCGAATACAGCAGTATCATCAGTGTCAGTGGGCTGCAACATTGCTAGCTTCTTGTGTGTGTTACGTAACGTTACTAAAATTGCCAACGCTGGTCTATAAATATGTATAGTACGTAAACGTAGGATACCACTGAATAGAACCCTACGATACCACAAAGTAATTTAGAATATATCAAGAACGGTACAATTATGCACCGTTTTGGTAGCTAGCTATCTAGCTAGTTTGGATTGCAAGCGCGCTAATTTAGCTAACGTTAGCTAGCTTTATCGCGTGCTCATTGTCCCTCGCTCTGGACTTTTTTATGGAGTAACGTTAGCTGAACCAGTAACTGGGCTTCTCGTCTCCTCAAGCCCTTGTACTGGTTATGGGAGTAGCTATGCGTGCATGTAAAACAAATACACACAACAAATTCCATTACATGATATTTAGTAGGATTACAAATTATTTAAGGAATAAAACATGAAAAAGGAAAACTATCTTACTGTCAAGGTAATGTTCTAAATACATTCCCGCCGCCATCTTGAAAAGAATAAACAAAGGTTCTTCCGGTCAGACAGGAAATCTAATTATTCTCCTTCTCCTTCTCCTTCTGGGTTTACGGTGGACTACATCCAAAAAGTTGTATTGCCGCCACCAACTGTGTAGGATAAAAAAAATATATATATATATATATATATATATATATATATATATATATATATATATATATATATATAACTATATACCTACCCGACCTCACTCATCAAAACGCTGCATACTTCATCTGTTAAAAACAATATTCATGTCTCTACACTAAATCAGAAGCCTGGGAGGGCGTCATCATCCGTCGCCAATAACCCTTGTAAATCTTCCACCGTGAAGTCCTGCTGCAGCCACAATGTTCAATTTCTTTGATTTCCTTGCTACTTGAGCCACAGTTGCAATGAACGCCATTAAATCCACTTTCTTTACATACAACATGTCCAGTTCTCTTGGTTGACAAATAGGTCTATTCACTATGGGCTGTGGTCCATCCACTACCATTTCTTCAACATCACTTGTTCTCTCAATTATTTTGATTGCTTCCGCATAGGAGATCTGATGGAGCGCCCAAATTTTGCCACCTCAACCACCTTCAGCCTTACAGGGCATGCCACGAACTCTGGGTCATGATCCCCACCATAATTGCAGCAAGGCCATTCTTCACTCCGATCTTCTGTATACTCCGCCCGTCTGCAAACACTTGAAACATGGCCAAATTGTTTATATTTTTTACACTGTAGTGGTTTAGAGACCACCTCATATACCCCAGCATTACATGCATACGGAGGTGGTCACCATCAAAAAACAATAGAACCAACAAACTTTCTTCCTTTCTTCCATCCACCATGCAGGTCAAGCGACGGGCACTAACCACACCTGGGATTCACGTCAAAAGGTTTTCCTCCTTAAGTTCCATCGACACCCCAGAGATGACTCCCTTAACAGGTGCCCTACTGTGAGGCCCACTGCCCTCTTTCTCTGTTCCTCAGACACACAGTTAATCAGGACAAGCCCACTCCTGGTCACTCTGATTGATTTAACTTTTCCCAACATACAATTCACCCTCTTTGACACCCCAAACGGATCTACCAGATAAACATCCTCATAAAACAAAAATATTTAATGAGCTGAAAAGAAAAATTACAGAAATTTGTGCTAAGGGGTATTTCTGTCTGTAATAAAGCCCTTTTGTAGGGAAAAACTATTTCTGATTGGCTGGGCCTGGCTCCCCAGTGGGTGGGCCTATGCCCTCCCAGGCCCACCCATGGTTACACCCAGTCATGTGAAATCCATAGATTAGGGCCTAATGCTTTTCTTTCAATAGACTGATTTCCTTATATGAACTGTCACTATCTTTGAAATTGTTGCATATTGCGTTTATCCTTTTGTTCAGTATATATATATAAAAAATACAAACACAAAATAAATACAAATTAAACAATAAAAAACAAAACTACCAAACTACCAAAAATTAAATAAACTAAATCAAACAACTTTACTGTTAAAAAATAAACAGATCTGATCCCTACACAGTCTCAAGGGGAGCCTGGGAGGGCGGGCCATCTTCCTGCACCAGTACCACTTGCAAGTCTTCAGATGTAAAATCCTTAAGTCCCAAAAACGTTTCTTCCACAGCCAAAATAATGTCCAGTTCCTTAGACTTCTTTGAGACTTGAGCCTTACAGTTTTTAACTGTGGAAATGCTGAAATCGTCTTCTTCTTCTTCTTTGGTATTATGGCGGTCCGCAAAACAAATGTTATAGGTGCATGCCGCCACCTACTGTATTGGCTGCCTACTATTCTGTAGTATGAATTCATTACACTTAGTCCCTGAAATCTTCTTATTCTGTGGATTTTATATGGCGGTTGGCAACCAATTTAAAAGGGGCAATCAGCATGAATGCCTCATGAGCTTAATTCAACTGTCGTACCCCATCAGAACCTAAAATATACTCTTGTTTTACTCCAATGTTAGTAAACAAAGTAAATATAGCCTCAAAACATGGTTAAAACTATAACTTTGATATCATGGATAGTCAGTCCATGCATCCATAGCTCTGTCTATGAATTTGAGAGGGGTTAAATCCCTCTAGCCCTATCCCTCAGCTTTTTACCGAAACAGGGGCGGGGAGTTTGCTTTGTTTTTGTTTCAACTGCTGATTGCCACTTTAAGGTGCAGTATGGCCAGCAACTCCATTGTGTATATAGATACATTATCGTTGCTGTTTTTGTCAATGCCACCTTAAACTCAGGAACACTAAAAGCGGCACCTGTCCTCCCTGTTTTAGGGTCCTTAGATCCATCAGTGAATATATTCAAGAAAGCATAGTAGTGTGTTCTTAAATGTTCACTTACAATACTTACTGGATCTACTCCTTCCTCAACAGCTCTTACCCTCTCAAGTAACCCTAGGTATATAATTGGCTGAGGGAGCAACCAAGGTGGAATAGCAGGAAGAACCACAGTAGGGCTGAACTCCTTCCCAAACAATCCCATCTCTCATCATGCCGTTACCGATCCACCCAAAACATGTATTCAGATCACGTTCATGCTCCCATCACTCTAGGAGCACCTTTTTTGTAGGCTGTATAACCGCATGTCCTTGAAGATTTACCCAATATATCATGGTTAGTTGTCTTCTCAACTTTAATGGCATCTCTCCCAACTCTACCTACAGCGCTGCCACCGGGGAGGTCCTGACTGCTCCACAACATATTTTTAGGGCTTGTGCCTGGATTACATCTAGTTTTTTAAAAATATGTCTGAACTGCTGATCCATACGCTGCACTACCATATTCCAGTGATCAGACAGGAAATTAAGTTCGGGGGCACCTAGTAGGGGACACCCTTTTTCATTTTGTGCCACCAAAATAATGTTTATTTTTGTAACTATTTTACGTGGGCCTATTTTTTCCCTTCAGTAGGCTATGTTACAAACAAGATACAATATGCATTAGGCTACGGAACAAAATAATATAAATATTATCTGAAATTGTTATAGAACAGAAATCATTATATGGAATTGGCATAAATAGACAAATAAATACTAGGCCTATCTAAATTGAGAAACTAAACTGTCTACTAGAGGTAGTATGGCTATTCCTCTTCATCTGAGGGATCCTGATTGATGCACATAGACCTACTCTCTGCCACTTAACTCTGGCAAACTGTAATTTCTCCTTGTGCTGTCCTCTATGCCAGAATGGGATTCTAATCAACTCAGCGGAGCCATTCAACAGCTGGTAGGAAACCAGACAGCGTGAATGGAATAATTTGGTCAGAGGATGCAGAGGAGACACCATTCGGTTAGTCGTTCATTCATTCATTCATTCCTTTATTCTTTGGAGCACTTCAAAATTACAAAAGATTCTCTGAGTGTTTGTCACCAATAGGTGGCAGTGTACTGTATTCTATCATCATGACAATTCACTGTCAGTAAAGAACCTGATGAAATGGAAGTAGTTTCTCCTACCACTGATCCAGAATCAGATATTTGTCAGTCTCCTAATGACTCTGAAAATGACAAGCACTGAGCAAGTAGCAACAAAGGTTAGATGTAAGGAATGACCAACCTATCGGGGCAAAAGCACTCAACCCACCAGAGACGTATTACTAAGAGACAAACGCGAACATGAAGAGGGGTCGACAGACTAACAGGTGGAGGAGTGAGGAACACAGACATGTGCACCGCATGACATGTAGACGAGTGTGAAAGGCTCTGAATTATAGAGAACACACGCATACACACACACACACACACACTCTCTCTCTCTCTTTATCCTCATCCGTTGTGCCTCACTATGTCAAGCAAGTCGCCCACTAGTGTGGGGAGGTTAAACTAGATTAGCGCTTTATGTCACTTCCTCTCTCAGACTGTCTTATGTCTCACTGTCTAAACTGGTTCCAAAATATGCTGTTATTTTGTCAATCTGAAAAGCTTTCATGTAGAAAAACATGACTAGTGCTAAAGCCACAACCCTGAATTTGAGTGTCAGCGAACGGCACCCCTTGACATTTGATTTGCTAAGCTGAGGAATAGGGCTAGAGAAATGTAAGCACTCTCAAATTCCTAGATAAAGCTATGGATGCAAGACCTGACAGCAACTTGAAGCTATGGGCTACATTGTTTGTTTACAAAGACTCAAATTACAACAAAACCGAAACAATGATGTAAACCATCCTTATATTTTGGGTTATGATGGTACTGGAACTGACCCTGTATATAGTATTGTAGCGGTTTCAGGGGTTGTGTGGTGGATGGACGGTATGTGCCTGCGAGGTTTCTTAGTTTTTTGGCTGCCAGGACCATGGACAGCACTGTGAAGTATTCCCCAGAGGCAGGACCACGGACAGCTCAGGGGAAACCTTCTAGACTGCAGCAGAACAGCCACACCTGTCTCCAGTTGTAATCAGAGACAAACTGCAGACAGGTGAAACCAATCAGTGCCTCTACTTAACCACGGCCTGGGTTTTTGGTCTTTGACCCCGGCAGGTGAAGGAGTAGGAGGTTATTGGGGAGACAGAGCATACTGTGGAGAAGGAGGATTAACGGAAGAAAGGAACTTATGATTTCAACACGGATTGAACCCCCGAAGACCAAGATTGGAGGACTGTCCACTGAACCACAAGGAAACCTTTAGAAAAACGTTATGCTAAAGTACTGAAATTCCCACAGAAGAACGTTGTTTCTTAATATTCTCTGAACGTTCTGAGAACATGAATTTAAATAGAACCATGAGGAAACCTGTAGAAAACATTATGCTGAAGTACTGAAATTCCCACCTAAGAAACATATGGTTCTCAGAACGTTATGTGCTAGCTGGGTATCCTGCACCATTCCCAGAATGTTGTGGGAAGGTTATATACAAAATAACCATAGGACAACCATGCTCTCACCAAGCTCTAAGAAAAATATGGTTCTCAGAACGTTATATGCTAGCTGGGAAATGCCTTTGGAATGTAGTTTTTGGGGCATTTCCATTTACTATAGTATGG